ATTAACTTATATTGCCTCTATTGATATGCAATTGTTTATGTCATAAAATAGCAATATACCTCATCACAATTCATTGTAACTTCTAAGCTAATCAAAATAATTTATTTTTACACTAAACTTCTGTTTTCCTAAATATATATATCAGGCCTTATCAAATATCTTCAGATCTAGGAGCCAGCCCAAAAGCTAAGGAGCTAAGCATGCCTAACCTAACTTTACTAGTGTTTGTACCAGGAAATGGGGATACACTAGTGCCTCGATTATCCACGATCCTTGATTATCCATGGTTTTTTCTTTTCCCCAATTTTCTCAAAATTAATTGTGCCATTACAATTCTAGACAATAATTTAGATGTTTTGAAGAAATCCCCACTCAGAAATCAATTTTGGTTGCAAAAGTTCAGGGTTCAGGATCTACCATGCATTCAAATATAAGTCGACCAGTTCAAGCCTATCCTTACCTCTTTTATTTTTAGCTGCTAAAACAGGAATACAAAATATTTGTAGCTTGGTTAACTTTATTTGATTAGCTATTAACATGATGACCACCAGCTACTTACTTTCTGCATAGTCAAAGAAAATTTTGCTATATTTTGATCCAACAATAAAATTAGTGAACAAAATTGTTTGAAACCTCATAAGAACTTTCATAAATTCACATACTTTAAAAAACATGAAGCCTGTTACTTTTGATAAATTTAGTTTTTTTGCATTATGATATTTAATATCTTGGAAAATTACATTAGGAAATGGTATTTATAAGAAATGGTTACAATATTTATAGTTATTCCAGATTTGAACTTATTACTTCTAATGTTTTAGTTCATTATTTTAAAATCTCTAAAAACTTTTTATCATCCATAAAATCCAAATTTTGTCTATTTTTAATTTTTTGATAATCATATACTCTCCTTATGGTTTCAAGAAATATACAAGACCCGTAAAATAGTATTTCTAAGTAAACCTAAACAATAAATGAGTATTTTTTTATTTTTAACTAGGATTTCATGTTTATATATGTACATAAAAAACATTTTAATTTTGTTTCATAAATGTATTTTTATTTCAAGTTAGGTTAGCAGCATGAACTTCATATATTTGCTGTAAACTATCATGCCTGTTGGTGTTCACTCTCATTCAGTTCAGTGCAGGCACATTTGAACATTACTGTAGATATGATAGTAAGAAAGCTTTTCAGTACTTGACTATCATTTCTTTGAACTTTAAACAAGTTTATTTCAACATATGTTCATGTATGTTGTTTCACTATACAGACAAAACTAATTGCCACTACTAGTGAATGTATGTAATAGTTTACATTACAGGCAATTTGAATAACACCGCCTGACCCTAGTTACATGATACATCCTGTTACAAGAGATTACCAAATGATATAGACACCATAAATTATAAAGAAAATTACTTTACAGCACTTAAAAGATTAGTCCAGGTCACATTCCTCTCATTATAGGCAAGATTTATGTTGGAATTCGAAACTTAATCTCTTCAGTGTATTGACAACCCAACTGTGAGAATGTCATAGCTTCCCCTGTATTATGGAGACGAATGTGTTTAGTCTGTTTCACAACCAACATATGGATTTTATTGTCACTTGTACACTAAGTTTTAAACCATTTGCGAAATATCAGAATAAACTTTTTATATATCAGTTAGACTGTTTTAATTCTAAAGCAACAACTACAGAAGTGTGGGTCTTACTACAAAGTAAAGATAGTACAAAGGAAAAATATAAAATTCTTATGTGGTACTGGTACTAGTAGTAGTACGTACAAATCACACAAGTTTATCATTCTAAATATTGAATCATATTTACATTATGAACTAAATATAAAATTACGCTAAATTATTGAACTTAAAACTACTAATTTAAATGAAAAAGAATATAAAAAATTACAAACTCTTTCAGTTCAAAGTGCTAAGCCTAATTCACGTAAAGACCATGCACTCACCACTCAATAGATCATAACCCTAACATTCGTGGATCAATTTCTTTCCTAAATATATATCTATTTTGAGCTAATTTTTCAATATAATGATTAATATAAATAGATATACAATACAGCATGACTTAAGCTACTACAGAAAAATAATAAAAGTCACATAGATACCATGCAGTTTTTTCCAGAAGCAAATTTTCTAAGGCTTATAGAAAAGTACAATAGACCACTACTAATTACAACCTCTACATAAAATGGCAGTTACTATAATAAACACCCTTCATGTTCATATTATAAAATCCAGAGAACAACATTTTGTCACATGCTTTGCTTATCATCCTATGATTTGTCAAACATGAAATACAACAACTGGAATAACATAGTACTGAAACTATTCAAAAGCGCTCAAGTTTTGGGTCTCGTTTTGAGAATATGGTACTGAAATTGATACCTTCAACTAGGATTGGCTAAAAGTACTACAGCTGAGGTTTAACATGCCCAGATGCTGTTTTATAAAGAAAACAGACTAGAAAAAGGTTTAAATACCAATCATTGATGGCAGTACCAGTGCTAAAGTGCAAGAAACATTTTTTTTAAAAATGTTGAAAATAATTTTCTTCTTAGAGGGTGCTTATTTATAGTCTCAAACATATTTTGGGATTTTTTAAATTCAATTTCTCTTTAAACTTCATTAAATAATACAATTTTGCACAAATAATGGAATGTTATGCTACTACTTATAAAAATAAAATCTGAAATCCAATAAAAGATAAGTTCTGTATAATTTTTCAATTCACAAATGTGATTTTTCCTTCACGATAAGACAAAATG